AGAGGATAAACAGTTTCGTCTTTAAGCCTCGTCTCTCACTCCTCTACAGGTCCATTGTGAGAAAACGGATAAGTTGAAAGTTAAATATTCTACACGGAACATATCAGAAATAGTCCGAGAACCATGTTGTAAGCAATAAATGATTTACCAAAAATATTCCCAATGTTTTAAAACATGATCGGAAATATTTTTAGAAAACTTGCGTCCTACTTTAAAGACATACTCTAGCATACTTTGTTTGTCAGTTTGTACTGCATGCCTTGTTTAAAAATGCTGGTAAAATTTCCCTATTTCAGCTCATGTAGAACGCAATGACAACGTCTTGTTTTACTCATCATCACTTTACACTATGCAACATATCAAAGAGGTCTAAATAACCTCTCTCTTCCAGCCTTTACGATGTACATTATTGCACTATCTTTTGATGTGTCATTCACTGTCGTATACTCGTGAAAAGCGACGCTCTTAAAATATGATAATACATCACAGGAATCACGGAGTGTTACCAAAATATGTGTTTGTTGCATAACTGTTTAGTAATAAGGTATCCTGATGACCTCAGGCATATTAATTTGCCTATGGGGTATACGGAGCGAATGATGAATTATTATATTGAATTAGTCTGCGCTGTTCCTTTTGGAATTAAATCATCTGATTTGGTGCGTGAGACATATTGTGATTAAATCGTTCATTTAACAATAAAGTATTATTAGTGTTATTTTATTGGGTAGTGGACAAGACACATTTTCAGAAGAACAAAGGTGAAGTTTCTCGTTGCTGATACGAATATCTAGTTTTGAAGTTGTGTAATCGTCTGCAGTTCTGAGAAAAATTCTGTACAACTATTAAGATGTGCGATTCCTTGGAGAACTTCTGGAAAAGGTTCCAAGTCGGTTCTTGATGATTATAGAACTGTTGAGCTTACATATTTTTGTCATGAAGGCTAGAATTTTTGTGTGTTTTATCAATTATGGTTCTTTTGGAAGAGAGCTGGGATAAACTTAAACGACCTCTTGAGAGTCAATACTTAGCGCCAAGCGATTTCTGCCTTTACTTGCAGCAGAAGAAGTCGACGGATGTTCATGAGCTTACACACAATAAATAGTCGAGTAACATGTCCTTTATTTCCTGCACATTTCTCTGCAATAAAATAATAAAGCAGTGGAATAAATATATAACTCTGCAGAAAACCGGAAGTGCCAGATGCCTGAAATAAGTTGCGTTTGAGATTCTCGCAGATGTGACTGTGCAGAGTATTATCTTTTGCGATATAATACCTTGTAGACTTGTAGTTCGACGTCGTTTAGGAGAAAAAATGTTGCTTTCATTATTTGGGCCGAAATATAAGCCAACAAAATAACCAGCAAGAAATAATTACCAAGCAGAGCAAGCGATAGGGGACACAATTTTCCTCTGAAACATGGATGAACTTTTTACCAGACTGCACTGAATTTCATCCAGAGAGACACCGATACTCGTAAAACATATTTACAAGGAACATCGAAGAGCTAAGTCCTGGATTGTTGTCTTAAACTATCGTTTTGTATTCGATTTGAGGTTCTCAGCAACGGTGGCTATGAAAAGTTATATCTTTGAGATATTACGCCGTGTAGTCCTGTAAAACTTAACCGATTTTAAGGAGAAAACTTCTCATCTATCTTCAAGATTAAAGATTAAATTGAGCAGGAAAGCAGCATGAAGCCTGCAGCAAGCAGAGCAAGTCGCGTGATGCAGGACAGTATAGAGTAGGAGGGAACTTGCAAGCCAACTCATCATTTCCCATTGTCTGTCACAGAGCAACAGAGTGCATCAGTAGGAGACAAGAGAAGAGTAACTAGGTTGAGCCCTGAAAAGGGCCGCTGTAGCAGACATGAGAACGAATGAGGCAGAAATCATTAAGAGTGGTGGACAGAGAACCGAGGATGGTAGGGGACAGTTCGCATGTGTGGGTTGTAAGCATATAGAAGGAGGTAAGACGAGCAAGACCAGGGCAGGGACGCGCCGAGGAACCGCTGTCTGGACGAGACTTGACTAACTACTAATTCCACGCGACATGAGGGGCTACAGCGTCTGTTCATGCCCGCCGCACCAATTACGGCCCTGATCTCAGAAGCAGGCGTGTTATACTCTGTGATTCACTGATACTATGCGACCTTCGTCATGAACAAGAGTCTTCTTTCATTCCACAAAATTTTGACCTTCGGTATGACATCCCTATGTACCACCTATTTCACCATTTACATACGAACTGAAACACAGAACGTAGATTATTGATTCGAAACCCGCTTGCTGTGGAAGATAATCCTACCTGTATCTTAGGTTCCTGTTTTCAGTCGGCTTTATATAACTGTATAAAATAGATAATCCATGTCATTTTTCAATTTTAGATTGTAAATTTTTAATTTTGTTTATGGTAGTAACGACGAGATGTGAGGCCATTGAACTGCTGGAAGACAGGAAGTAAAACTTTCGCCCTTGAGGGACCATGCCCTAGTTTTGGCGACACTTGACTAAATGTGCTTAAAGTGCTCTTTTGTCCAACTTAAAGCCTCAGTTATTTATCCTACTTGATCTATAACGTAGCACTGTCAGCAGCCATGCAGGCCTTACAGCTGTCCAGAGAAGTTTCTAGTTTGTCACTTTCGTGTTTCTACGTACGGAATGTCAATCTACAGTTGAACTTGTCCCTTCAGAAGTAAAAGTAAACGTTACTGTAGTTTAAAATCGCAGTTAGTGGCGGTACAAATTTTGTCAGTCCTTTGTAATCATCCAGGATACGTACCTGTGCATCAACTACAATTCATCTCACAGTAATCTAGTCTGTTCCCAAGATCTAAGTAGACCTGTTTTATTGTTCTTCCTGAAGATCGTCCATAACAATACAGTACATAACAGATGAAGAGCCGGGATAGCTCAGTAGGTGGAGCGACGTGGTACTGGCTGGAAGGCCGGGGTTCAATGCCCAACAGGAGTGAGAGCATTTTACTCTCCGCAGCGTGCAGACCGGTGACCNCCCCCCCCCCCCAGCGTCCTATCCAGTGGGTACCGAGGTCTGTTTCACCGGGTTTACAGTAGTTGGTGCCTGAAGCTGAAGCTGACCACTTACCTCCATCTAATGCCCAGGTCAAGAGGGTGGAGCGGTACCTCCACTGTCCCTGTGTCTTCATGATTTAGTGCTTAGTTAGCACAGGGATAATTTCGCTTTTTACCTCTAGGTAAGACACCTAGGTATCTTTTAAGTTAGGGGCTGGCTATGAGATAAACTCATATTCTGGTTTTCCGATTAACGTCTACAACATTTTTAAGGATTCTTAGTTCAGTGGAGACCAGTGGTGCTCACCATTAGCTGCTTCTGTCCCCAAATTATTTTTAATCCGGTTAAATAGATTATATTTCAGATATGTTTGCTCACGACAAAAATATTTTTCGCATAAAGTTGTATACATGGCAACATGACCTCATTATAATTCATTTTTAAAATTATATTATTAATATTTGAGTTGTCAATTATTTCAGACTTAAGATAGGTGAAATAGACTGAAGGGCGAAAAGGGGCTGTTTGAAATATTAATACTAAGAGAGTAATCTGAAATCAAATATTTTATGGCCGTCCATCTTGAAATTCCAGTGGCCTGAAGACAAAAAATAAACGTCCAGTTTACAGAGGTGACAGGTGTACGAGTATGCCAGGAATAGATTATGCGACAGATGTACGTCTATGTACGTGGAAATGACTGCTGAAAGTTGTAGGCTGAACTTATGAGGAAATTAACCCCAAAACAGTAAAGTGAAAGGTAAAGGTATCCCTGTAACAGGCCGTGGAGGCCCATAGGGTTGTGAGATATTGAGGTTCCCACATTTTCTATACATTCGGCTCACAGATGGCCGCAAAGTTGTCAGCCCTACGCGCCGGCCGCCCTTTACCCCCAAGAATATTCCTGGTACTCATTTTTGTTAGAGGCTGAGTCGACCCCAGGGCCATAATGCGGCTCGAAGAATTAGGTCAATTGAAAAAATCCAATGACCTCATCGGGACTTGAACCCGCGACCTTCCGGCTTGTAGCATAGTGCCTCAACTAACTACGCTACCGCGTACTCAGTTAACCACAAAATATTATTCATAAAATAGTTCTTGTTTTGAAAATAACAGAAGAATATTATAGAGAAATGAAGAGTGGGAGAGACATAAACTACCACATGATTTGGTAGAAATGAACAGTGATGAGCGAAGTGAATAAAATGAAAGAAGTGGGCTGTTGTAACATAGAACTAACAATGAGAAGGCGCCTGCCAAGTAAACAACTGCATGTTTGCCGCGCCATAGCTCAAGCGGTTAGTCGCTGGCTTCCCACCGCGGCGGCCCGGGTTCGATCCCGGGCCTGGTCAAGTGGGATTTGTGGTGGACAAAGTGGCGCTGTGGCGGGTTTTCTCCGAGTACTTCGGTTTCCCCTACCAGTCTTCATTCCACCAATTGCTCCACAATCACCCTCACCTATCATCTGGGGCTGGTACAATAAGCCAGAAGTGGGCGCAGTACAAGGGGCTTAGTCCCTTGGATGTTACTGGATGTTACGCTGGAGGTTTCTGTGATATTACATACATAGACACACAGCATAATAAAGTGGTCTCATTTGAACTTTAATATTCTATCAATCATTGAAGAAGTTATGAAATTAGTGATCCATGCACCATCGATGGAACTAAAGAGGTTAAAAGGAATTTTTAATGCCAATTGGTAACAGATTTTGATTCGTTAAAATGCTACATAGGTCTAATATATAACATTATTTAAACTATGACTCCAGAGTACATCGTTTTCCTTAACATTTTGTGTTCATCTTGTTATCTCCTCTCCGCACTGTAAAGAGGCTCGAGACAAGAGGCTATTGACAAGAATAAGAATCAGGTCTATTGCATCATTGACACGGAGTTGTCTTACAAAGACTGTGAATAATTGAAGATTTTACCAGATTATTTTCTGTTCTGTGTCTAATCTACCACACCCGCAAAGAACGTGGAAGAATTCTTCCATGAATGTTCAACAGAGACTGTTTTTCAGTAACGTGAAAGAGAATATAAAATTATGTGACGTCATTACAGTTAATTTACACGAAAAGTAGAGACAAATCATGTTACGCTCTTATTGTTGATTAGATGACAGCCAGTTAATTAGATAGTAGCTGTTGAGATAGATGTTGAGGCCAAATAAACACGATGACATACTTTTCAAAGAATTCATTAGACATTAAGGATGCATCGAGTTCTCCATAGTGCATAAGGCGAAGGAAAACAAGGAGTCACTTGGGATGTGTTAGCGTGTTTGCCCTATTCCTTGCACTGTAAGCATTTCTTCTTCGTATTTATATATCGATAGAAATTTCTTACATATTTCTGCGTTATTGTTCGCATGCAGTTAACGTATCAGCACTATATTTACATAAATATTACGTTTATGGACAACATATTTCGTCCTCTCTTTTCTATAAACACCATAATGTTCATATTACAAAACAACGTTTCGGAGACTGAATTCTGTCTCCGTCTTCAGGTAAACCCAACTCAGTTGGCCCCAATCGATATAACTAGTACTTATCTCCGCACACATTTTACAATTTACACTATTCCGAAGGTACAACGATATAAGTCTCAAATTTTTTGGCGTGCTTTTAAATTCCAAATTTGAAGCATGATTACTGATTTCATGCAGTTCTATATGATTCCTGTACATATTTCAATTTTTCAGTATATATGAATAGTAATGTGATTTTCGAGTTATGCATGTTTTTCAAAATCATCGATACACCCATATTTCTGAAGGATCGCAAATTTCCAGATCTTTCGAATAGTTGTTGAATATGCCTGCAGATTGCAGGCAAGATGAGTGATATTAGGTCACATTAGTTTCTAAGCAATTCAGAACCGAAGAACAATGCGGAAACTCTCTTAATCCCGGTTAAACATTAATGTAACGAGTCTCAGAGAATATAGTACGAGTTATGATTAAACAAGGATTCTGGTGTCTTTTCAGTTGGAACTGTTTGGCTGTCGGTGTTGTGTTCGTTCACTTAGATTCATAACACAAATTTTGCTTATTCCATAAATATTATCGTAATTTGTTATTCACATTTTAAAGACCATATTTAAAACTTTTCGGGCTTTCCTTCTTGTTTAAGCCAAGTTAACTCTGTAGTTTTGGTTCTGTTCTAGTGCTGATTACATTCTTGACCAACAAGCCCTCTTAAGGTTCTCGAAATACTAAATTCCGTTTACATGTACAAATTTGACTGTCTTTTTAAGAAGTAATAATCCACATAAATAAGAATTACTGGATTGTGCAAGTAAATAGCCATACATGCATTACAAGTAGGACAGTTTAATGCAGGAGCCATGGATTGCTGTATTGGAAAAATTCAATTTTTTTACAAGTAATTTCACGAACTTTACATTTTTATATGGGGTTGTAAAAAATTTGTGTGACGGTGATAATACCAAAATATTTCCATATTTTCTTAATTACAATGACATTTTTCTGCCTTTCCATAATTAAAAATACTTGTGACGATAAATAAAACTATTCGCTAAAATTACCGAGGGTTTCAGTGTACGTAAAAGCAATATTACTCCAGTACATATCTCTGAAACAATCTCAGTTTTCGGGTAAAAATCATGAATGTATTGCGAAATAAAATCTCCTAATCCAAATGTGTCTGTACGAGCCCATCTGTGCCAGTTCTCCTTGTCGTAACAGTACTTCCATATCGTGGCAGTTTGTCTTTAAGTTATTAGGCCTTAACGATGTTACGATAAATTAAAGTTGGTATAACTTTCCCATAGTTAGGTGCTATATTCACTGTCAGTTGTAATAAATTGTCCCTAATGTGCTACAACCTACCTACGTATGAACCTCTTACCTACCGGCACTACCTAGTTCTCAACGCATTTAACCATTCCCCTTCTCGCTTATGCTCTCAAATGATTTCGTACACAAATATTCAACAGCGTGGCACATATATTAATCACAACTCTAATAATTTACTTTTTATTAAGAAAGAAATTTGAGCGAGCTTTTAACAGATTACGGATTGTTTTTGTACATCAAATTCTTTATCCCATACTACTAATGTAATGTTAACACCCATAAATGGTAACTTTACTCTTTTCCACGAGGCTTTTAGCATTTTAACGATGTCTTGCATAAGACGGCATTAAAATCCATTACCGTTATGACTAGTTGTTTTGCTTATCTTGAATCCATTACACAAAATCGTAAAATAACTTGTTTTGATCATTGCATTTCATTTAATGTTTTATTGTATGTATTTACTGGATGTGGGATCTTATGAGTATTTTCTCTTTATTTTGGAAGCTACGTTTCCTAGAAGCCACTGTAAAAATGTGGACAACTTGACAGACAAATTTACAACCTGTCTCCTGGGATTATTTCTCCAGATCTAATTATTCTTCAGATTTTAAATAATTTCCGTAAGTAACGTATTCACGCCTAATCTTCTGCTAATTTTACACCAGACTTTGATTTGCACTGCATCCTTTTGCCTGTTGATGTATTGTCCCACTCAGGCTGTTCCAACAAATATTCTTAACACTATAAATTTCCGCAAAAGTTTTTCGGACGTTAATGACACTTAATGTCTTGTAATATGTCTTACTTCGATAGAAATTTATTTCTTCTTTCATTAGCCACATTTTAAGTTGGTAACATTTCACTTGACTAGTAATGTTATTCCAGTATGTCTCCTACGTTGTGAATGTCGTTAACACTGAACACATGTAACATACATACAAACGTTGCAGAGGTCGGTCGTGACTTATTTAGACGAAGATGTTGGAGAGACGGATAGGATACTTCAAATCTTGAAGCTATCTTGCAATGTGTGAGCCCAGTATCAGCAGCAGCAGATGCAGAGTCGTAGCTAACCGTGGTGATGCATTCTGTGACGTAACTGTAAACACAAGAGGTTATAAATTGGTGTTAATTTACAAGAAAGGAAAACTATTTTGTTGTTACTGTAGATAATGTTATATTTTAGCGTCCTGTTGCACTGGTTCATGTCCATGATATATATTTATGCTAACCGTCTTACAGTGCACACTTTTTATTTAATTTCACCTTTCTCTTCACTTTTACACTACATGTTTCAGCACTAATGTGCCATCTTCAGGTGTGTCTCTATGCACGTCAAATTACTGAAACATGTAGTATAAAAATGAAGAGAAAGGTGAAATTAAATAAAAAGTGTGCACTGTTAAGACGGTTAGCATAAATACACATCATGGTTACTGTAGATGTTCGGCATTCATGAAGTCCTATTTGACTTGAAAAGAGGAACGTGCAATACTTTAAGCTAAATTAGTTAATGACTTAACTTATATAATATTGACTTATGAAATAAGGAAAACAACGGACCGCAATGGGAATCAGCACGGTTGTCGCGCGGTCTGGGCATGAAATATCTTCGCTCGCTCAAACACTGGGATCGTGGGTTGGAATCAAACTGAAGGCAAGGATGTCTGTTTGTATTTATTCTGTGTTTGTGCTAGATAGCGGTCTTGAGACGGGCTGATCCCCCGTCCAAGAAATCCTACAGACTGTTTTAAATTAAGAAACTAAGTGAAACGAAGCTTTTCATGGATGCCCTGTGCTCCAAGCGGGAGCAACAGGAATGAGAAAAGAAGAAGAAGAATTGTAATCAGAGAGAAGAGTATCTTTGACTGTAAATTTTACCAGATGTGCATAATTGTGAGCGTTCTCGCCTCAATTGTTATGTTCATAATATCAACTGTTCTTTCGTCTGTATTTATGTCTCTTGTGGCTGTTGGCCAGCGCATACTGTACTTCAGTCTCTTTAAGTTGCCAGGCTAACAAAGGCACTTTAGGATTCACTCAAGCAGTCAAAAGCTTTACCCTGAGGAATGGAAAGGGGAAAAAGACGTGAAGGCTGACCGTTCAGTTTAGTGGTTCTCCAGCGCCCTGACAGACGGGTGTGACGTTTGCTCTTCGACTTCCGCGTGATCAAGAGGAGGTGAATTTGTTAGTGTTACAGTGTACTATGCAAGCTATCGAAATGGAACTAAAGAAAATCTCTGTAAAATTGTTAATTGGTAAATCTCATACATCTTCCTTATCATAGTAAAAAAAAAGAATAAAAAGTGTTCCTCAAGAATAATAATACTATTCAAGCCTTTAAATTGCAATATACGTGGATTCAAACCTACGGCTGGAACGTCTAAAGGAACAGGGCATTATGACACCGTAATGTATAAACATTTATCTCGTATTTTGTTGTATCCTGTTGTGAAAATCACTATAGATAATATTTCTTACATTTCGGTAGACACAACATTGTTCTTAGTAGTTGCAGTTGCTCCCTAGGATTTGTTACGCTAAGTATGTGACAGAATAGTTGTAACTAAAACAGGACCTGAAGATGGCATACATGTGCTTAACATGTCGTCCTGAACAGGAACTCAGTCTGCTGAAAACCGTGTGATGTCGGTATTGCTGGTGGAATTGTGTCTGATCCATACTGTGTTACAAAGATAATAAATAATTTATACCTTCAAATAATTTCCGACTGGTTTCCAAGTTTCTTACCAGTCTCTTAATTGCTGTTGCTGCTAATACACATGACACTGAACGTGCCCTACTTTTATGACTATCCTATGACCTCCTGTCAAGTGAGCCCTGCAGTTTGTCTGAAGTCGTCGCCCGTTATTCGGGATAACAACCTACTGAGTCATGCAGAATATGAGGTACCCACAACGATGGTTATGAAGAGTTCTGTCTAGTGGTATATAATGCCGTGTAGGCCGCTGAAAGCAAAGTGACGTTTCGGAGGAACATATTGCCTAAATATTCAGATTCAAAGTATAATTCAAGCAAGAGACCTGCCTGAAGCAGATAGCTCGTTGAAGAATCATAGGTTGACATTCAACTGACTACACGGCTTTCTACCCCGAAGGATAGAACTCTATGTCTTAGTTAACATTCGGAAGGGCACAAAGTGAAATTGTGATGATAAAGCAGTATCTGAATCTTGGTTTTATCACTCTACCCAATTCGTTTGAGTTTTGTACTTGGGGGTTGGATCTTAAATTTGAAGTTGCAAGCCGAATTGAATTTTGATCCCTATTGGTGTAATGTCGTGAACGGAGAAGTTCATGGAGGTAGGCCTAGGCCCACTGGGGCTGTAGTGCCAAGGAAAAAAAGTGGTGTAATATATTTCCTGTCTTACACAAGACTGAATTCTATGTTCCCAAAACTTCTTATAGATAAAAAAGTGGTATATGACACAACATATAAGACTAACCATAATAGTATTTAGAACTTTAATGCGAGCCAGTTTTACATGGCATGCATAACAAAAAACCTGTAAGCCATGTGAAAATCTCAGTGAGGCTTATCACAGCCAGTCCACCCATTTTTAACATACTTGTACTTTCCTTATTTTTAAAACTAAAAGTATGCTTATGCAATCTCCTTCCTGTGTGTCCGTGTCCCCGCCCCCAAATCCACTTTTTAATGGCTGAACCAATCTTTGAGACTTGGTATGTATATCGAGGCATTTGAGCCCATTTCATAGGCTTACTTCATGCATTCCTCCAATCGGTCTGTGTGTTCGCATCTATATCCCCCCTCGTCGCTAGACAACGGCTCGGTAATCACGTTCCCGCGGCAATGGACGCACAAAACAAAAAATTGCTGAGCCCGTTTTTTGCTATGTGTGTGTGTGTGTGTGTCTGTGTAGCCCCTTCTCGTTGCAACGTAATGTCCAGGGAAACAGGTTCCCGCGGTAAAAAAGAATTGTTGGAGGCGTAGTTTTCTGTGTGTTCGGTGCAGCATCAAAGGAAAGTAGGCGAGTATTTCTTCCATGAATTTCTCGTTATATACTGCTATTACTTACTTACTTACTTACTTACTCATGGAGCTGAGTCCTTCTTGAGGAGCCGCCAATTCTGCAGCTACTCAAGANCACCTACGCCTTGGTCTTCCCTGTGGTCTCTTTCCTTCTGGCTTTCCCACCAATTTCCTATACGCATTCCTCGTCTCCCCCATTCGTGCTACATGACCTGCCCACCTCATCCTCCTTGACTTGATCATTCTAATTATACTTGGAGAAGAGTACAAGTTATGAAGCTCCTCATTATGCACTTTTCTCCAACCTCCTATGACTTCATCTCTCTTTAGCCCAAATATTCTCCTCAACACCCTGTTCTCAAACACCCTCAGTCTATGTTCCTCCCTTAATATATACTGCTATAGTAATGGAATTCAAGGACCATTACATCTGGGCTTTATGCAGTGTGGTGAGCTTATTTTTAATGTCATTAGTTTTGCAACATTAGTTTCTAGGATAAATAATACACTTAAAGGTAAAATGGTTTGACAGTCATACAAAATGAGGTAATGTACACTTGCAAGAAACTGACTTAGAAAATTGGTATGCTCGTTTCGGCGTGCTATATTTTCTAGCTTTTTTGTTTTCCATACTAAATATAGGTACTAAAGGAGCAAAACTATGAGGATAGTAAACAGAAGGCGGTATGAAATGTAACGAGAATAAAAGCATCAAAACACATTAATACAAATTGTGAAAGGAAAGCTATTACGTCATACTTGAACGAATGTTGCTACTGGTAACGAAAAAATTACTTCATTAAGAGGACGAGCAGAAATTTAATCTGCAGTTTTGGTGTACAGGAGAAGGATAAATAACCAAATTACACTACAGAAAATCCTTTCGTAGCTTTCGCAATTTGTATTTGCGGCGGAAATTTCGTCGATCAGAATTTTAAGTTGGGCTTATTCTGAAGTACAGCTGTGACTTGAAGAAGAAATGTAACAAATCTATTTTTCATAGGCCATGGGTTAGTTTCCATTTTGGTGGGGGGTTATGAAAAACTGTAATATTCACAATAAAGTGAACTTTGGAGGTTGGGATGAAGGAGAAATGGTGGCTGGAGAGAAAAAGAGTTCTGGTCCTGTTTATCCCGCTGTACTTCCATTCAGCACGTCTGGAACGAAGAGTACTGCAGCCTCAGAAATACTGAGGCTTTGTTTAGAATTCCAGAAGAATCAGCTGCACCAGTCATTGAGAATGACGCAAATTAACCTCTAGAAACCATTAAAAGCATCAGCAGGAAATTGCATAAGCGCTGCTGTGGTCCACCGTTCACGAGAATGTCTGGGCTTGTTACTTCTCGAAATTCTTGTTTTAACTTCACGATGTTACCAAGATTCTCGAACGTTTCTGCTTTTGTTTACTAGAGGCACTGCTCAGTGTTATTAACTCTTTCCATGAGTGCAGTAATTTAGTTGCTAAGAGTCAAATATTCCGCCTGCAAAAATGAAACAAAAAGCTGTGTTGGCTTTATGAAACTATTCTTTCTCTTTGTAGGAGATGAGGTTTTTACAGCGGTGGTTATGAAGGTTCTGTCTTCTAGGATATAACATCGTGTAGTTCGTTGAAAGTCAACCGACTTTTCAGAGGAAGTTATTGCCTCCATCTTCAGGGTTAGGAAATAAGAACAAGACCCTGACACTGAAGATGGAGGTGTTATGTTTCTCTGAAACGTTGATTGGCTTTGAACGGGCTACATGTTGTATCCCAGACAGCAAATTTTTTAATTTTTTTTCTTTGCCCCCTTTTTAGAAGATACTCAAAATATTGGTGTGGTATATGGAATAGATTTCTGCTCAAGAAACTAAGACTAGCTCAGCTGTTCTAGAAATTCCCCGCCTGTTATGAATCTTGATTGTTCACTGCCGTGTTCCAGAATTCCATTACTAATCAGGCAGTATTAAGATATAACCCACTAACTTCCTGGAGCTGAGCCCCTCTTGAGAAGCTGTCAGTTGTGCACCTACTCAAGAATTCTCAACATTTTATGGAACCCGAAGATTCATTACCATGATCACAAGAGCCCGTCACTGGTCCCTGTT